CTTGTCTGTAAAATAAGCTTGTCGGTGAAATGTAGTGCATTTGAATGATTGTCGGTGAAATGATACGGACCCCTTTTCAACATCATTATTTGGGAAAATTATACTTCTTTAAACAGTTTGAAGAAATTACCACATGTTCCCGATTTAAAGAGGATCGAATAAAAGATTTTGTTCAAGGAGAAGCCACAAACGGAATTCGAGTGAAACTTGAAAAATTCATCACAAAAGAAAAAAATGATGAATGGGTAGTTTCATTTATAGTTTTAAATTATGATAACAAGTCTTACGTGCCCGAACCAAAATCTTTCAAAGAATACATTTTGGTTGAAGATACTGCAGAGGTATTAATATACTGATGTTTTTAATATCATATAATTTATAATTATTCATTTCAATTTAAAACCTTAAAGGGAGCCCTTGAGGCCATCCGTTTTTCTGATATGAAATATAAAGATAAATTCTGGGGCTATCCGTTATCAGTTCTCGCTCTTGTAGAGGTTGAAAATAATCCTATACACAAGATCAAATTAAAAGGGAAAATCAAGAAGACGATAAATGTTGGTTCGACGTATCGTCTATATAAAAGATATATCGATTTCAATACAGATAAGATTCTAAAAGCGCTTATCGAAATTGATGAGCAGTCAAGTTCTTTGTTCCTGGTAAAAGAATTCACATAGTTAATTAATTAAATAAAAATATGGAATAATTTACAAAATTATTTATGAATTATTATAACAATCGTATTAGAATCTTTTAAAAGATCCAAATGAATGGGGATCTTCTATATTTGAAGAGCATTCAAAAGAATTAAAGACCACTGCAAAGAAACTGCGAGATTCCTTTGGAATGTCACCATCACAAAATGAAATCTCCGAAAGTTCGTTGGAAAAAAGGCTTCAAATTGTCTGGGGTCCACCAGTAATTACATTGATAGATCTTTTATATTGGTGATTTATTTTTTTTTTTTCAGTATTAAAACATTAAATAATTATTTTCCAATAAGGGATCTGGAAAAACTCATTTCCTCGCGTTATTTATTACATGGTACCTGACTGCAATAAAACCTCAGCCCTCAGGAAATAATAAAAATTTTATTATTGGGATTACAGCTTTTACCAGAACTGCTATAGATAATTTATTGGAGCGTATCGCTCGAATCAAAGATATGAAACAGGCTGATTTTTTATTGGCTCGAATGGTTAGTGAATTAAATGATGATAGTTCACTTGATGATGTAGAAGATTACAAAGCCGAAAAACTACAAAAAAAACTAGAAAAGAAACCACAAAGGAAAGTCGCAAGGTCTAATATTCCTGATAAACCTATTGTTATCGGAGGTACAGTATGGGACTGGTTTAAGTTCCGTAAAAATTGGGAGGACTGGACGGGTTGTGATATTATGATTATAGATGAAGGATCGCAAGTAAGCATGCGAATTAATTATAAATTTATTGTAAATAATATTTGGACGCAAAGATATTTTTTTTGAATTTAGCTCTTAGCTTCGGACGCTTGTGTCGTCATAGAAAATTTGAATCCGAGACATGGAAAATTAATTATTGCTGGAGATCATATGGTGAATACGTATCATTTATTTACGGGGGGGGGGGTTTTTTTGATATTCATCGAACCTAATAACGAGATGATTATGAAATATTTGTAGCAACTTGGGCCCATTATTCAGAATACATACCCCGTTTTTTCGGATAATCATCCACTTATTTTAGGATCAATTCAACAATGTTTGATGAGAAAAGAGGATGGATCTATTTTTAACGAAGAAGACTTCTTTCACAAAAGAGGACAAAACCGCGATTTTGGCCCGTGCACACTTAAGCTAAGAGATAATTGGAGAATGGTATACATATATTTTGGAATCCTTTCGCGTAAATATTGTAGTCATATAAATTTATATAAATCGGATTTTATTTTATAGAATGATGAACTCAATAGCTTTTTCCAAAAAATATATGGTGATGATTATATTTCAAGGCATCCCTCTTTAGAATTGGATTTTAAAGATGATAAACTTTCACATATAGAAGATCCAATTATAAGAAAAATATTATTACCTGGAACAGCGATTAATTTGGTAAAGTTATCGTTAAAAAATCATGAGGTTATCGAATTTCTTTCTGATAAAATTTTACGAGAAGAAGCAAATGCTGTGGCTAAAATAGTTTCAGCATATTTTGATGCACCTCGTCAAGAGTCAGATAAGCCATCTTTGTTTATTGTTACACCACATCATCGTCAACGACATGCCATAAAATCTAAAGTTACTAAATATTTATCTAATCCTGAAATCAACTTGAATATAAATACTGTTGAAAAAATGCAAGGACAAGAAGCAGATCTTGTAATCGCATGTTTCGGATTTCTCGACGCTAATGAAATTGCTCGAGAATCCGATTTTTTATTTGATCGAAATCGTTGGAATGTGGCAATAAGTCGAGCAAGGTATGTGTATGAACACTCGTAGTATAACGTATAAGAAATTCCTTATCATTATTATTGTTACCAATCTATACGATATATTAATTATCATTCTGATCACATGCTCTATATTTTTATAGATGTAAAGTCATATTGTTAACTACCGAGGAAATACTATACCCGAAAAGTTTGTGTAGTTTATAATCTTAAATTTGGTTTAACTTATAAATAATATATCTGATATATTTTTTTGATATATTTACTGATTTTTAAGGTATGGAGATATTTGCAAATAAAAAGACGTCAGAAGGATGGGTATATGTTTCCATGATAGAATCCTGGGTTCGACAAAAAGGCAAAGAGATTATCGAGTGGGTAGTTGATGAACAACCTGTAGTATAAAATGATAAATTTAAATCATGCAATAGAAAGATTAATAATTTGATTATTTGAATAATCAATTAATGATTGTCCCGTGGTTGAGAACATTAAATATGAAAAGTGATGTAAAAGTTACATTTTTACACACACATCAAAAGTTTTTTGATTTATTATCGAAACTCCTAAAAAACCAATGTGTCTTTATATTAAGACAATCATTTATAATATACTCGGATACTAACCTAGTTAGTAATACATTTTTATATTTTTAGAATGCCAGATTTTCTTACGGATTATACAGTGGATTTGACGTATTTGCATTGTAACATCACAATCACTTCAAAAAGACAACACATTTCAAGCTTATCTTACATACGATTGTGACCTCTATGATTAACTTTGTTATTATTTAATGATTGTGATTGCGATCGTGATTGCTAAAGCCGGCCAATTTATCATAAATCTAAGCCTGACACAAACTCAGATTCATGATAAATTGGCTGACTTTGGCAATTGCAATCGCAGTCACAATCATTTAATCATAAAAATATTAATCATAGTGGTTACAAAATTATGCAAAGCGCAATAATTTATAGACAAGTTCATTTTTTGTAGACATTATATTTCACCAACAGCTCATCTCACAGACAAAGTAATTCTAGTCACTGTCGTTAGAGTTAGATTTAGAGTTAGTGTTAAAGGTTAGTGCAAAAACTTGTCTGTGAAATGAACTGTCGATGAAATATACTGTCTACGAAATGAACTTGTCTGTAAAATAAGCTTGTCGGTGAAATGTAGTGCATTTGAATGATTGTCGGTGAAATGATACGGACCCCTTTT